TCCTGAGAATAGATTTTAGCTGTTCTCTGGACCCTTCAGCAAACCAGCTCTAATACCATTTTCCCCTCTGGGTTTGGATTTTATTATTTCCAATCCTTGGATCACACAGGTTAGTGTTTTTTCCATGTGGACTTAGCTGATGCCTCACTTAGATGGTTGCTTATTTGACGGCAAGCCTTCAAGACCCCAGATGCTAATTTTTGTGATCACCAAGATGGTTACTTTTTAAATACTTTTGTCAAGAAAAGGTTTTGGAAATGTTGTCTGACTCCGCAATGTAAAATGATAGACAACAGTAAAAAAAAATAATTAAGCTTAAGATAAAAATTCTTTTACAAAGATTGTTAATCACAATCTAACACTTATCTGCAAGGGGTTCCTAGGAGAAAAGTGATTAAGATAAAGGCTCTGTCCCATGTTCATTGCAGCACTATTTACAATAGCAAGAAGATGAAGCACCTTAAATGTCCATCGGTAGACAAAAGGAGAAATAAACTTTGGTACATACAATGGGATGTTACATCTCACTAAAAAATCATGATGAAACTGTGAAACACCTCATGATACAGATGGATTTGGAAGGCATTGTGCTGAGTGAAGTTAGTCAATCACAAAGTACAAATATCATATGAAACCACTGTTATAAAAGAAAAAAAATCAAATCAAAGGTTGTCCTGCCAAAAGAAACAGACTTTGATGGCTACCTGGTGTAGGAGGACCAGGGAGGAAAGAGGAAGCAGTAGGCAAGAGCGTGTTGGCAAACTCTGGCTCTCGGGCCATGTGTGGCTCTTTCTGCACATGTATATAGCTCTGAAGTAAAATTGAAAATGGAAATAAAAATATTATGCAGACAATGGTGATTTAATTTGTTTGTAAAATGTATTTATGACTCTCGAATAATTTTTAAATTGTTGTGAAGGACAGGATTGGCTCTTCCCTCTCCACAGTTTGCTGACCCTAAGCTAGAGGGCACTCGGGTGTTATCCCAGCTGAAGGACAAGAAAGTATCCTACAAGAGGGAGAAGTGAAATCAAAGGAGAGAGAGAAGATAAATTAAAGCAGAGCTTGATAAGTCATTTACATTGTTGAATACAAAATTGATTATCTGAAATATAAGCACCACCTAATTCACAATAATTTTTTTTTTAATTTTTTAAACATTTTATTAGGGGCTCATACAACTGTTATCCCAATCCATACACACATCAATTGTGTAAAG